AACTGATTAAATAATGTTTGATGAATGAACTGAGATAATCTAGATTATTTTTATGCACCCAAAGGATTGAGTGAAAGCTGCAAGTTGTAAGCTTAATGTTTTCTTGTTCATCGTTCAGTAGTTTCAGCATCAAGTGACTTTCAACTGTTGAAACGATAAGATTGATATTGAGCTTTCTTGTTTTAATGTGAATACAATATTTTTCAAGTTTTTTTTGTTCTTCCCTTTCAAAGGGAAAATACATGATAAAGCTAGAAATTTGAACGAAATCCTCAAGACGAATTTCTTTTCTTTCCACCAAATTTCACCTTGAATTATCATGTTGAAAGTCATTATTCAAGTTTTCATGTTGAAGCAACCATCATGATAATGGACATGATGATCATGAATCTATACAGAGGAAAATATCATTTAATAAAAGCATGAAAAGTTGAACCAGCTTTTCAATCATGAAAATTGAAGTTTGATGGAACAAAAATTGATAGAAAAACCAAGAAGAGTAAAGGAAGCAGAGAAGACTTGAAATGGAAGCGAAAAATTAAAAAACACAAAAAAACTCGAGCTTCACTCTGAATATCAGCAGATAATCTTGGAATAAGGAAAATGCGTTTCAAGAGTCAAAGTCAACTCTACCCTTTTCCCTGCTTAATTCATTATTTCTTGTTCTTATCATGACAAGATTGATGAGTCAAGTGTCAATTGAGTCAAATCCATCTTGTTAAGAAACTTGTCTTGTTTAATCAAAGTTAATTTCAATGTTTCATTAACAATCAATTTACAGTAAACTGACAGTCAAGTGAATCTAAAAGAGCAACTTCTGTCCTACATCAGGTGTGAGAATCTGAAAAGGTAAATATTTTCCTTTGCCTTCGACCTTTTCCCTTTAATAATCGAACCCAAAATTCATCAACAATTTAATTTGTAACTTTATTAGAATCATTCTCTCTTTTAATCATTAACCTTCATTAACTTGATAATTATCAACCTTTTAATTGCTCTGTGAAACTGTGTTTTCCTCGAGAAAAAGACTTGAAATCATTAAACCTTAGAAGTATAATAATCATTTCACATTCGCCATCAGAAATCACATTTAATTAAGTTTCTGATTGCCATTTGGTTCATCAATTGTTACTGTTTAATGATAGTCAGGATAACAGTTGCCAACTAGCTGAGAGCTGCAAGGTTATACAACCTGTAAAAGATGAAACCAAGGTTCAGATCCATGAAACAGCCTCAGGCAATTTCCTGTCAGTCATCGTTTGCCTTTCACTTTTTGCACAAACTTTCGCTTGGATATCATTTCCGTTGAATCATTTTATCAATCTTTATCGGATGAAACAAATTCCCTGATTTATCGATGCAATAATTGCATGTGAATCGATTTTGCCATCCAACAAAGTTAATCATCAATAATTATTGAGCCAGCATTCAACCATCAGCATTTAATCTCACCAATCATGTCCTTCAACTGCTTTTGAATAAGTTCATAAGCTGATCAAGACCCAAGACTTTCTCTGGATTTACGATTCAAAGCGATTATAAAGTTAAAGACTTTGCACGAAATTTGATTCTGTTTCAATTCAACCTTCCAAGACTCAAAGATGAAGAATACAAAATTAGTGAAATATTTTCACTGGGAATCAATCTTGAGATTATAATGAATCGAAATGAAATTCTGAGTTCAATTTTGTTTTGAGCTTATTTTTTATGAAACCAAAGATTAAACTCATTTCAACATGACTTGATTTTGCTGTAAAAAACGCTATTTTATTGCATTAGAAATCATTTCAAGTTTTATAAGTACAATAAAATTACAAGCTAAATGCCAATTAAGATGAAATAACAAAACATTAGATTACTTTGGGAATCATTCAACTCTTCATCTACTTAAAGGTTAACATTTAATGGCATTTTAACGCAACAACATTATCGCTCCTAATGAAACTTTGTAATTGTTAATGGAAACCAAAAAGAAGGAAAACTTAAAATTAAAACCATAATAAGAAGTAAAATTTCCCAATATTTAACCATTATTCAGTTTCAATGTATACAATTAAATATCATTAAATTCATTCCCAGCAAATGTTGGTAAAACATTGATAAGTGTTGAATCGAAAAATTGTGATGAAAAGAAAAAAAATTTTCTCCATTTTTTTCATTCTTCCAATAGACTATTGAAAGCAACACAAAAAACTAAACACTTTTTTCAATTTTTCAGGGTAATGCCAAGATTATCATTAAAACTCTAAATGTATGAACATTTCAATAATAATTTAGAAAAATTGTTGCAAATGTTCCATGATTATTATCAATGTTTCTCATACAAGTTTACATTTCCATTTGTTGATGGACTTCATAAGTGAATGGGTGACATTTCGAGATTGGACAAAATTCTGATAAGAATTGTAACCGTAAAGTTGGAGGAAAAGAATGAACATATTCTGATTCAAATATCAAAGATAATGTTCACTTGGATTTTCTTGATGAAACTTTTACATTTTTTTTGTTCAACTTTTCATTCGAATGTCGATTTCGCCTTTTCTGGCCAATACTTTACAGTTTTCATCCATTAACTGATCATTTCATTGTTATTTTATTTTGATTTTTTTCCTCATTCACGCTCATTCTCTGTGTATCTTGTCTGATCATAAAAATATAATTTAGATGATTATTTTTTCTTGCTGTTGTGGTCTAATGATCGGGAACAAAAATCATTGAGTAAATCAGTTAACCGTCCATTAATGATGATGATCAAAGTGATAATGCTTTTTTGGGCTTCTTGGACATTTGTAATACTATCACTTTATGGTCAATGTTAAAAGCTTTTTGTGTTGACCATTTGTTAGGTGAATAAATTTCATCATTTGTCCACTCTTTCAAGTTGCTCAATTCAAGCCTAAAAGTTTAACATTAAACTCAGTCAAAGATGAAAATTTTGCTCCAAAACAAACCAAAGCTTCAAGCTTTCAATGATATTTACAGCTAACACAGCAACAGTTGCAGTTGTATTAATAAGACGACTGATTGATTGTAAACTTAATTTTTGATCAATGATAGATTCGATTCTCAAATAAAACAGATTTTGTCCAATGCTTCTGATCACAATAAGCTGCTTCAGTCTGAATGTTAAATTGATTGTTGGATTCATCTCTGGATTTGAAGTCAATGGTCTCGCATTGAACCAGATTAGTTAAAAGGTAAATAAATGTTATCATTCCTTGCTTTCAATAACACTGATCATTGTAACCAACCTGGTTTCTGGTTGTGACATTAATTTGAAAAGCTTACTTTAAACTAATTATCGATTTAATCAAGAGTGATTTGCTTTTTCATTTCAATCCAATGTAAACCCAGTGAACGTATCTTTACCCATCAAGGTGGAGGTTTTAATCAGGGTTAATTCAGAATGACATTTCTCTCTATGCAATTTATCTCATTATTTGTGTTTCTTGTTGTTATTAAGATAAATTCAGATTTGGGTTTGACCAGGGATTTGATGGGAATCTTTTGGGTTTTTTTAATAATTGTGTTTTGGTTTGAAGGCTTAAAGGCGATTGAAGATGTTTTGATGACTTGTGATCATTTGATTGTAATAAACATTTTACTAGCATTTAAAAGTGGATCATTAATGATTACTAAATGCAATGAAATATGGATCAATAGTCTGTACACTGTCAGGGTTAATGATGGTGTAAAGATGAGATGCGTTAATGATTCCAAATGATTTGAGTTCAATGATTTAATAATTGTAATTAATCTTTATATAATGGAGGTGAATGGTGTAGCAGGTGAGTAACATAATTAATCAACCTTTAGATGTTGTTGTTGTCGTTTGTTATATCAAATAGACATTAATATTACATTTGGAAGGAAACTAAATCTTGTTAGAAACGTTCATAATTCAGTAACACAAAACAGTCCAAGTAATCATTTTACCTCATCAATCAATTGATCATACTGATTGAGTAACAAAAAATATCCTCCAATTTAATGATTAACAATTAGCTTATAAAATATGAAACCAGTTTTCACAATTAATAATGAAGAATCAAAAAAATGGGAAAATCTCTAAACGCTATTGAAGGCCTAAAGATGGTAAAGTTGACCAAAGCTTTGATTATGATTTGAATCTTGTTATTAATATTTGATTGTTATTGATATATCAAGCAATACTCACGCAATCAAACTGGACTTTATGACTAAACATTGACTGACTTCTTGGTCTCTGGTCCAATTTTCATGCAGATTCAGAATTATCATGAAAATATAATTTCTTCTTCTTTTCGACTAATCATCATTTTGTTTGCCTGGTTCCTTTTGACTTTCAGTTGAAATTGATATGGACTTGTGATGATAACCATTCTTCATCTTATTTATCTGTTCAGCATTATTCATAAAGAAGGTGAAACGAAATATGATGAGAAAGATTTTCTGGAAAATGATGATTCTCATGATCATACAGTGATGAAAAACATGGTAAAAGTAGAGAATAAGAAAATTCTTGGTTTAAGATGAATTCCCTGGATTCCAAAGATATTTCGTGATCTTTAAGAATAAAAATAATATTTTAGCTTTCGTTTTTCACTCCCAGTCATAATAGATATGTCTGTATGTATTTTTGTGAATAAGAGGCAAAAGGTTGGAAGATGAAATCAAGAAAAAAAACAGATTCTTTCAACATTTGATTTCGATTCCTTTTGCTTACCATTTTTACCCTCAATTATATTAAATAAATCAGTCTTCAATAATATTCTGATCATGGTAGGATAAAAAAAAAGGTAAAGTAAATATTATTTCATGTTTATCTTTATTCAACTCTTCATTTTGATGCCATTTTACAATCTTTTAATCTAGTTTTCCCTTTATTGACCATTTTAATGAAATTACATTCAACTTTAATATCTGTTTGGCTTTTTAATTTGCTGGTTGAAATCAATTTAATGAGATTCATTGATAGTCTTTCGGAGGTTTAATCACAGTTTAAAATAAATTTTGTTTCGTTTTGCAAAAAAAAATTGGTTTATTTTTACTTTACTTTGCTTGGTTTTTTTGTTTCTTTGATCGGTAAATCCATCGTGCTTTATTACAATATAATGTTAGTGATCAGTTAATCCAAGATTATCTAATCATGAATGAATTTTATTTTTTATGGACAAAAACAGGTTACAAATTGTTCCAATTGATTCGTCAAATGTATAAAAAAAGATTCTTGAAGATATTACTTTGTCTTCTGTTCATTGTTTTAACATTTGTTTTATGTTTTGTTGAAATACAATTGTTAAAAATAGCTGATTCAGCTTTGGCAACAATCAATCATCCTCTCCACTTGTTGAATGATTTTTGTAAATCTTGATTAAATTAGATTTGAATGTTTGTTCAATATAAAATTGAGTTAGAATTTTCATTCGAATGGAATGAAAAAGGAAAGAAAATTCGAGACAAAAATAATCAGGTTAGCGTAGTAATAGTCTGGTCTTGGTATTTGATATTATAAATAAATAGTTGATTAAATAGCGCAAAGCAAAGGTAAGGTAAAAAAAGAGTTGAGAGTAAAAAATCATTCCAGTGAATGAGAGAAGGGAAAAAATTTGATTGTAATCACAATAGTAGAGAGTTGCAAGGGAAGGGTTAGTCCAGATCGATTTCTTGGTTAGTTTGTGTTCCTTCAATTACAATTTCATCGTGATCTGGAGCTCTGGGGAGAAACTCTTCATCCGGCAATAAAGTATCGAAAATGGATTTTGCCTCTTCAATAGCAACATCATAATCAAGCTCATTAACTGGAGGTGAAGTAACATAGAGATTCTGATATTTATCAGTTATACTTGAACAGTCCACTGTGGCCTGGTTGTAAAAACATGACCAAAGTAATTTTGGTTTACCATTCATTTCATCGCCACTTTCAAAGTTGAATAATTTACGAGCGATTGGGAGTAAATCTTCTTTGGCATTTCCAGTAAATGAATCACACCATGCATAAATTACAAAAATACCCTTTGGGGCAATCAAGCTTGCCCATGAGGATTCAACAACGAGAATTGGAAAAGGTCCAGGGAAGCGGAGTAAAGATCCAGCACATTGAGAATCTTTGACGGAACCAGAAGAAATGAAGATAGCTCGAGAAATGTTGGTAACTTGGCGAGGGACGAGAAGACTTTTAGGTACGTTAGATAGACTACAGACTAGATTTTGGCATTTAATTTGCTGAGAGCCAACGATGATACTGTTAATAACGTCATCCTTAGCAACAACTCCATCAATTGTTCGCTTGAGACAATAAGTTCCACCAAATACAGCACAGAGTCTGGAAATAAACAAAAGATTTGCATTTTAAACCAACATTAGGGAAACATGATTAAAATGGGAAAAGTAAAATTAACTTACCGACAAAATGCCTGTGGAATCTCACCACAACCATAAAATGGGAAAAGAAAAGGAGTATTTCCAAATCTTCCGGATGAACTGACGAATCTTTTCAATTGTTCCATAGCCTCTTGAGTTGGGGTTGTAGGATCTACCATGGCAATTGAGTTGAGAACAAGATGTTGGAGAAGAGGTGTAAAACCTTTGCTTCGAAGGTACTCAATAAAGGGTTGCTCTTCAAAACCTTCAAATCCTTCAATCAAATCTGGTCGACGTTCAAGTTCCAAGCAAAGCTGTATAAATCTCATGAGAACTCGTTTCTCGATCAGTGAAGTATAACTATCATTGAAAATATCTTGACGAGTACATGGCACGTCCATTAACTCATCAGTACCAGGTAAACATGAAAGGATACGCTCAATAGAACGGAATGAAAGATATCTACAGATGTTAGACGAAACTAGCAGGTTAACCATGGCTCCACGGGAATAAAGAAGTCTTGGTACAAGATCAATGCCCCAATTCCTTTCTGTTGACAACTTTTCAAAGGTCCAAGGTTCCGTTTCATCATCAGCTTCTTCAACGTCTTCTTCTTCTTCCTCCGTTGCTTTGTCTAGATCTTGTTTTTCTGGTGCTTCATTTATCATGTAAGAAACAGGTTCAACATTTGATATTAAATTTATCCCAGACTCCCATGGATAAACCATTTCACCAGCTGTTAGATTAACTTTACTCAAACTGATGCCAATATTTGAAGTTTGATTGTTCACTTTTTCACTTGGATTATTTTGGTCATGATTATGTTGAGATTGGAATTGTTGTTGCTGCTGATGTTGTGAACCATTGTCTGGTAGATTCTTACCTCCAGCTAGTTGAACATGACGTCGAGCCCAATCATCTAATTGTGGGAATGTAAAACTGGTCCATAGGTCTCCGTAATAATCATTTGGATCAAGGTGGAGAACTTTTTTACCAATTCTTGAGCATGCAGTGGCAACAATTGATTCAGTTAAACCAGTACCAATCACTACAAGATCATATTCATCCTCGAATCCTGGTTCCATTATGTCAAACAAATAAAAAAACACTCTTTAGTCGAGACTCTTCACTGACTTTCTTGATTAGAGTAACCAGAAACCGATGTTAATTTCCTAGTTACTCGGTAAATATTTGGTTACAATTCGCATCTAAATTCATGATGAATTTTCATTTCTATAGCGTCACCTATCGGTATGAGAAACAATTTTTCAGAATTTTCATTTCATTTGAATTTCCCAGATATTGGGATCTATTCTGCCATCTAGCGATATTATCAACGATTCTCAAAGCTACTTCGGCGACTCAAATTAATCTAGATGGCGTGTTTAATTTCCTAACATCCTTTAACATGAGTTGTTGAATTTATAAATAGTTAAGGATTCTCCCTGAATTTATTTAAACCCGACTTTATTTCATTAATGAAATATTTGTTGTATTTGTGACTCTCAACATGTGAAAGAATATGTATCGGGAATGTTTTATTCCTAGTTATTCATATAATGAATGAAAAAAGTCTTACCGCGTGGTAATTTAGCCAGGTATGACTAGCTTTTCATTCTTGTTGATGATTCAAGACCTCTTGAGGCATTGGTAAGTTTCTGGTTCTTTACGAGATCCCGCTTTGATTTTATCGTAAGTTTTGAATATCTTTGTTTCCTGTTTGGTTGTCTATATTTATCTTTGTTTTTGGTTTTTTCTTTCTTAGGAAATGGCCCTGCTTTGAAAAGGTGATCACGTTCGTATAGTCCTGGATTTTTTTGAGGTAACTATTTTTGCAATATTTAATGTTATTTTCTCGTTAAATGATGACAAAAACGACTATGTCTTATCTACATGATGATATAATCGGATCCGCTTTACTGAAATTTGTCTCACCAATTTCCCTAAATTCAATTTTACTTCAGTTACTCATAGCGTTCTTTTACTTTTTTTCAGAGCTCGCATACCCACGTGTGTCAACTTTCATGGTGAGTCATGTTACTGACTCGAACCTCATTTTCTCATGATGATAAAAAAATGTTTAGGCACCTCTTATCTGAATGAACCAATGATTGTTATTCGAGTTAATATCTGAAATTATCATAAACTCATCAGTTCATGTTTTGAGAAAAGTATATTATATTGTTATCTTTTCTTCCTTTCGCAGATTGAATTTCATTTCGAGCTGAATCTCGCTACATGAGCTTTTGTATTTTGATTTAATAAATGTACTCCATTATTTAAATTCGATAAAAAACACTTTGATCATTTTATTTCTAATTAATAAAACAATTGTCATTTTATATAATATCTGTTTTCATCATTTCTCTTAACATTACGGTCGCATAAGCAGATGTAGGCAACATAAAGGAAAGTTTAAGCGCTTTTTTGTCTCCACTTCCATCGGATAACTTCTTTCCTTTTAAAATATCTAAATCAGTTAAAAACAAGGGCTTCGTGTTGTCGTCATAAGACACAATCTCCATTTGCATGTTTGATGGCTTACTCATAAGTTTACGATAAGTTCCAGAGAGATGCAGTTCTTTGTGTTTGAGGTTAAACGATTCCACGGTGACACCATCCGCCTCAAGAAGTTCATACAGCTTATCAGCCACTTCATTTTCTGGCAAAATCGAGCTGACACCTAGAATAGGTAAAACAACATCCTCAATCGATGCGGTGGTGACATCATTTTCCGTTGCTATTCTAGGCTTGATATGTTTCAGGTCATCCAATTGCTCACATTTTTCCTTTTCGCTAATCAATAGATCACCTGCAACAACCTTTAAACCATAACGCTGTATCCTGAATGAGGCCAGTTTATTAAACAATAAACTTTGGTAAGCGTGAAGATACAACATTCTCTGGTTCCTAGTTATTTGGCAAAACCCGGCATAATAATTGTTGTTTGATCCACTCTTGATTATTCCTTTCATTATTCGTGCCTCTCGACTGTTACGAAAGCTCAGTTCTTTCAGGACTAGTTCTGGATTCCTTGTTTCTTTCCAAATTTTCATACATTGGTTGAAACTGGCAAATTGTCCGGTTCTACTTGCTTCATTGTCCACTTTTTTCTCTGATAAAATCAAATCTAAAACGGTCAACCAGTCTTCTTTAAGAACAGCTAGCCCAATGGAATGTGATGGTGAAGCATTCATACCAAACCTTTGGGTACCAAAATAGTTAATGAAACCCTTCTCTTTTATATTAAGGAAAGCATGGTGTACATCATCTTCTGAATTATAAATCAAATCTCTAATAACCAGATCGAAATGGTTACCAATTGTTTGACCTAGACGAATGGGTTCCCGTTCAAAAGTAATATTTCCAATGACTATAGCTGGTACATTTTTACCCAGAATTGTATTGAGATCGAAAAGTTTGTCCAGATTTTGTCTATAGGATGATACTTTCTGAGTTGATATACTCCGTTTATCTTTGGTTCCTGCATAAGTAAATGCTTTTGGTTGTCTCCCTGTAAATCGAGAAATCTTTTCAATGGCTTCAATGGTTCCATGGTTCTCTTGATAAAGAACGAAGTGGACAAAATTGGGTTTACCAACTGGCCAATCAGCAGCACTATATCGAGCATTGTTTCCCTTTCTCATGACCGTAATTACCGGAGAACCCTGTTTATCTGTATAATTTGATTCCAATCCAGGATATCTTTCTTTGACATATTTATGAATTTGAGTCCTCTCATCCTTTTGCAAACCATCAACAGGAATATCAACTTGATTAGCTTCTTTGTTGATCGATAGTTCAGCTAACTTTTGATGGAGTTCTGGTGTTAATATAGAAGCAATTGCACCGATTGCAGGATTAACAGGTTTCTGTTCTTCGATTGGCTGGGTAAGGTCGGTTAGTCTAACAACATGGCCTGATTGGTCAACTTCGTGTACAAGGAAATCTGAATATCTTTGCTTTATCTCACCAGTGAATCCTTGATGATCCCCAATAAATTCAGTAATAAAAGCTTCTTTCTCAGATACCTTGTAAGCCTTGTACAAATGATCAGATCGTACCTCAGACTTTAAATCATCATGTTCAGCTGTAGCTTCATCAAGTCCAGTTTCACATTCTTCATCTGCGAAATCTGCTTCATAATCATCATATTCAGGATCATCGTCCAATTTTATTCTTTTAGCTGCATATTCATGATCACTTGGTACATATGAATATCCTCCTGAAGTGGACTCGCGTGGTTTGTTAACTCCTTTAGTCGGTGATAACTCCGAACTCATATTTAAACGAACAGTTAACGAGGGATATGCTAATCCAAACAACAATCTTCTAAAGCAAAGGTTAACACAAGGGGGTATTATCATCCACTAATCTTTGTAATTAAAACTGGAGGGATAGATGAACAATTAGCAATAAAAATGTAATTGAGAGACAATGTAAAAATGTGAAGCAAAAATAAAGAAAATGGATAAAAGGCAAAGTAAAAAATAAAAACAAGTAAACACCTTTACAGATGTGATGTTTAAGACTTGAATATTATTTGAGTCAATCCTTCAACTGGACCAATAATTATAAATGTCTTTTCTTTTTAATCCTGTTTTTGATTAAATATTTATCTATCATTCAACACATCATTAAGGTTATTTTCATTGGCTATTTAACTCTGTTTGGTCATTCATACTTTTAGTACAAGTGAAAACAGTTGACTAGCATGTTTTTCAATATCTGCATCATATGACTTATTTATGTCTCATCTAATTAATTAATCATTCCTCTATTTTTTTATCAAAATTGTCAAATTTATATTGTTCCCAAGCTGCAATTAATTAGTAAAGTGATGAGTATGGACGATACACCTATTTCAGGCCAATTTACTTTCAGCGCATTCTAAGGTAAGCTTTATGGTTATATTTTTTCCTATTTTTGGTTGTCTAATAAGCTCTTGTTTCTTTCTCCATCCAGGTTAATCATTTTATATTGTGCCAATCAATCAAAGAACAAATGTACCATTACAATATACTATTTTTGTGAATGAAAATCATCCACTAATTTAGCTGCTATATCTTGTTTACTAGCCAAGGAGACTCAACATTGGCTCAGCCTATCTCATCTGAAGTCATCATTTCTAACATTTCATTCTGACTCTGAAGCTTATAATCTATAAATTAAACTCATGCAAAGGTGTCCCGGCATTTATTGTGGTCGAATAATATTTGACAATGATACAGTATCAGATTGTATGGTAAGAATCTATTTATTTTGAAGAAAGAAACCGATATTAATGACGGCTTTTTTATTTTACAGTCATGTCCTAGTGGGACTAGATCATCAACATCTTATCCTGGGTACTCACAGGTGGAAGGAAAAATTCAATCGTTATGTATACCGTGTTCACTGAGTTTTGCCTCCAATGATTGGTTCTATCTTGGTTTCATGGCCCTTGTTTTGTTAGTTATGGAATGGTACATCATTGATCATTCAATCAGACGTCGTACTCTTCCCTTCGAGGTTTTAATTATTCATTTAAGTGCTCTTTTTGAAATCAGTCTTGCTGCTTTGTTGACTTTACTCGCATTTTCAACACCCATTGGTTCATTCAATTTAAAAAGTTGTGGAGCTTATCGTATATCTGATTGGTATACGCTATTTTTCAATCCAAGTGTCAACTTCAAAGATACTATTCGCTGTGCCCAAGAAGCTGTATATCCACTCTATTCGATGATTTTTCTCTTTTATTTCTTATGTTTGGTCCATTTAATTACAATAAGGCCCTGGGTGATACGCTGGGTATCTGATTCAAAAGCACCAAACACTATTTATTTAACTTTGTATGTTATACCTGCCCTGACAATTTCTCATGCTCTCTTCTCTGGTCTAATATGTAAGTTATCACTCACAATCAAATGTATTTACAGACTTCTCATATATTTTTGCTAATATTTTATCATTTTTTTGTTTACAGACTATTCGTTTCCATTTCTTACTCTTGTCAGCTCAACGATCTCTATAGCTGCTCATTTTGCATATCGTTTAGACCAAAGTATGTCAGCTTTATTTTTCAAATCATTCGAAAGTATCAGAAGTGTCATCATATTATTTGGCCATTGGTTATTACATGCTTATGGAATAATTGCGCTTACAAAATTTAAAAATCCAGTTGTAACAACATCCCTCTTACTTCTTGTACCTTTCCCATCAGTCTTTTATATCTTAACATCAAAATTTAGTGACCCTAGTAAACTTCATATTAATTAAGTAATTTAATATGTAACATTTCCATTCAATTAAATTGAAGCCATTTCAGAGAAATCTGCTTAAATATTGAAATGTCAATTTGAATTTACTATTTTCCAATTCTAAAGTTTCAAATCAAGCTAAAAATTTTAGCACTGAATTGTGCTTCAAAGTTCAGACAGTTCAGACTAGATTTGATTTTTATAATCTCATCGGCTTAACTGAACCTATCTGTTGATAAAATTATAAGTAAAGTTTCGTTAATTGAGACAGAAGTAAAGCTCATTGAATAGCTATTGTTTGAAATACAAAACTCCTTATTACTGATTCACCAATTGAATAACTGCAACGAAAATATAGTTTACCAACGTTATATAATTGAGCAATCAATCTAACTGAGTAATATTATTTGTTAGAAACTAGCCAATTGCAATCATCTTTATTTGGAATAGGATTTCAAGTTAAATTGAGCTCGCAAATATGAAAGATTTGAATTTTTTGCTTCCCAAAAAAATATTAGTTCAACTTTAATTCCACAAGATGGAGTTTGATACGCGTTTGATTCGTCATAAAGATAATCACATAAAGAGTCGCATAGGGAGTTACTATTGGTATTACCTGAACGTCTATCAAATTTTAATTGATCAAAATGGTTTCTGATACTGAATCAACTGCCAAGTCATCTGAAACAATTGAAAATAAAGATCAAGAATCAAGTGAACAAGTTAAATCAACAGAAATTGCAGGAGATTCTAGTGAAACTGCTGCACCATCTGCTTCTTCTTCGTCTTCAAATCAAGACAATACCACTGTTTCAACTGAAGTTCAACCAATGGAAGCCGAGTCAACTGATATTTCTAAAAATAAGGAATCAATGGAATCTAATGCTAGTGTAAATGTTGAATCTAATATTAGTGAAGATGCTGATGTAAAACCAATGGAGGCTGTGTCTGAAGAAATACCGGAAGCTGTTGCAGCCGATTCTGAATTATCTAAGGAGAAAAATGTTTCCGATGGTTCATTATCATCATCATCATTATCAACTGAAATTCCTGCACCTGGAGGAGCAGAGAAAATTCAAAACAACAGTGATTCTGTTGGATTTACTATACCAAAAATTAAAACAGAAGAATTAGACAATAGTGAAGTAATGGATACCACTACTACCCCAGCAACTACTACTACTCTTGGTACATCTGAAAATGAAACTTCATCTGTATCTTCAATTCCTAATAATGAAGCTGAAACTCAAAAAAATGGCTCTAATGGTACATCTGAAAGTCAAGTTATAGAGGACAAAGGAGTCACACCCGATGATATTGATAAAGAAACTTCACAACCGGCACCTGTCTCTGCCGACTCTGGTCCAGCGACTCCTGGTAAAGTTGTTCAAGCTGCTTCTCCAACTCCAATAGTCAATGGATCAAGTAAAAAGCCTAAAGTTGATTTTGCATCTTTACCTACTCGTCAATATTTAGACCAAACAGTTGTACCAATCTTATTGCAGGGTTTATCATCATTAGCTAAAACACGACCCGAAGATCCAACTCGATATTTAGCTAATTATCTAATTGAACATGGTAAAGATTTTGAAGATCGTCAAAATTAATGAATTTTATGCGGTAAAACTATTTAATTTCTTTATCATTTCCTTCCGTCAGTTAATCTATCAAATGATTTCTTTTCACTTTTCATACATTTCAAAATTGAAACCACATTAAATACAATAATAACTTCCTTCATTGGATAAGTTATTCCTCATTCGAATTGTAACTCAGTTTCTTCTTTTCATTATTTTAAAACAAAATTGGGAAGTCGATGTGAAATCAACTCTGTACACTACTTTTCAACTTTGTCTTTTATGCTTAATAAAATCACATGTAATAAAAATGACGTCTCTTAATTATTTGTCTTTCAAACCATACCAATGTTGTTTCATAGCTTTGTTTTGATTTATTTTGTTGACGAAATCAAAAATTATCAAGATGTTACGGTACATCATTTGTTATAAGAAATTCCTAGTTTTGAATGAACAGATATAAATTAAGAATCAACTGACAAGTGAGTAGGGATATTTTCGACTTTAACTGAATGTGATTGTTGGTCCAAACAAAACATTTTCTCTACCGGTTGGTGGCATGATTTGGATGGCCAACTTGACTATCTTTTGAAAGTGGGACTATTGAGTAATGGACTATGTTTTTATGAGAAACTATTAGTTGGTAAAATATGAGAAGCCAAAGATTGTTACTAAAAAGACACAATCAACACCATTTTTACATTTTTACTCAAATTGACGATAATTGGAACAAATGGGCAAAAACGGGTGCAAATTAATTTCTTTCAAATTAGACCCTTCTAGGTTTAGGGACATAAAAACTAAGTCAATTTGTGCGATTTAAAAGTTTCTCTGATCAATAGTTTTCGAAAAAATCGAATCCAAAGTTGTAACTAAGATCGGCTGATGTTCATTAATGAAACCAGATTTTTTCATGAAACTAATTTTCCTGATGTAAATTCCAATGACCAACCAGAAAATGCACTTATTTTGATAAATGAAAATTTCTGCCTTCTGCGAAACAGATAGGTCCGATTTGGAGTTAAACCGATCAGTTTTTATGATCGTTAGATGTAGTGAGCTGAAACTTATCATTTGTCTATGAAAATAGTCGGCTCACATAATAAAGGAAATAATTTTATCATTTTATCAACAGTTCTCTTGATTTTGGCCATTGTAATTAAAACTTTGAGACTCGATATATCGAGAATGGCATCATCTACAATCACCATTCTTTCACAAATTTAATGCTTTACTTGCTAATGATTCAATTCAATTTAATAAATTACCATTAGTGGGCTTAGATCAGAATATTTGGCTTTTAAATGCACAAGGAACAACTTTTTAACAAACCAAACTCAACAAAACCCATTTCTTGGTAAATAAAGCAATTTTCTGGTTAAAGTTATAAATGCAATGCAAAAAGTACTGCCAAAGGCTCGAACATTTGAGCAAAGTGTTTAGACTTGATGGGTATGAAAATACATAAAAAACTAAGCCCAATGAGTCTATTAAATAATGCATCAGATGTACAGTTTTCGAGAAAATCGAGATCAAAGATGAAACTTCGATAGCGTTTTGTTCAGCAATGGAAGCAGATTTTTTCACGAAACTTTTTACACTGATGTAACTTCCAATTAACAACCAGAAAATGCACTTAGTTTTAGAAATGACATTTTCATTTTCCTTTAAAACCCATAAGTTCGATTTTCATTTAAACCGTCCACTTTCAGTGACCGTAAGACTTGAAGAGCTGAAACTTATTATACGTTCAGCAAAACTGTATTTAATCATCATAAATTTTTCAATTTCTTCATACTATCAACAGTTCTCTTTATTTTGGCCATTGGACTTAATACTTTGAGCCTCGATATATCGAGAATAACATCACCTACAAACATCATTCTTTCCCAAATCCAATGCTTTAATAGCTAATAACTCATTTCAATTTAAGAAACTTTGCATTCGTGCATTTGATTATGATTATTGGGTTGTAATTGTATGAACAACAACTTATTCAACAAAATAAACTAATCTCAACCCATATCTTGGTAAATAAAGCAATTTTCTGGTTAAAGTTATAAATGAAATGCAAAAAGTACTGCCAAAGGCTCGAAAATTTGAGCAAAGTGTTGAGACTTGGTAACTTTGTAGAGCTATATAAACTGAGTCAATTGGTACTATTAAATAATTGATCCAATGGATAGTTTTCGAGAAAACTGCAGATCAAATTTGAAACTTCGATAGCGTTTTTTCAGCTATGGAAACAAATTTTCCCACGAAACTTATTTTACTGATTTATCTTTTAATGAACAACCAGAAAATGCACTTAGTTTTAGAAATAACATTTTCTTTTTCCTTTAAAACCCATAAGTTCGATTTTTAATTAAACCGACGCTTTTCAGTGACCGTAAGGCTTAAGGAGCTGAAACTTATTATGCGCTCATAAACATTGTTTCCACACATCATGTATTGTTTTATTTCTTCATACAATCAACAGTTCTCTTTATTTTGGTCATTGGACCTAAAACTTTGAGACTCGATATTTCGAGAATGGCATAACCTAAGATCATAGTTCTTTGACCAAACACCAGAATTTAGTATGGGCTATAATATTATATGAATAAATACATTTAAAGAGGAATATTTTTCTAACAATTAAGGTTTGTGTTTGAGTAACCATTTAACTTTATGGATCAAGCAAAAATCTGATAACATGATTCATGCAATGGACTAACTTTTTCAGTATCATCTTAAATAATTTACTTTTTAAATATGTCATAGCCCATAATAAAACCTTATGTTAGGTCAAAGAATGATTATTTTAGGTTATGCCATTCACGAAATATTGAGTCTCAAAGTTTTAAATCCAGTGGCCAAAATAAAGAGAACTGCTTATAAATTGAAAAAATTATTTGATCCACTGTTTGAGACATCAATTTTTATGACAACCAGTAAGTTTCAGCTCTCTAACTCTTACGGTCACAGAAAAAAGTCGTTTCAAACCAAATTCGAACTTATCCGTTTCGCAGAAGCACAAATCTTTATTTCATGTAATAAAGTACATTTTCTGATTCGCCATTAAAATTTATATAAGGAGAAAGAGTTTCACGAAAAAATCTGCTTCCGTAATTGTACAAAAAGCTTTGCAAGCTTCAAGTTCGAGCCCAATTTTCTCGAAATCTGTTCATCGAAGAAATCTGCGAATCGCACAAATCAACTCAGTTTTTATGGCTCTACAAACTGACGGAGTTTTAATTTGCGATTAATCAATTACTCCCCGTTTTTGCCCATTTTTCTTGCTGTGTTTTGTCATTTTGTGCTTAAATGTAACAATTGTGTTGATTTGTCTTTTTACTAACAACCAAATGCAAAGTGTATTAACTTTACCCAATTTTTCCTTGTAAATGGGTTTAGCAAATGGACAACTAAAAGATCTGACGATAACCCAAATTGGTAACCAGAAGCAAAAGCGTAGCTGCGTTTTCAATGGTAACCTGTGATAAATCAATTGAGATTTCGGATGATTTTTTGA